TAGGAGTTCCCAAGATTTGGTCAATAAAGGGAAGCCGATTGCTAAAATCACACAGTATTTTTCCCCCTTTTTGATAGATGTGTTTTATTTTTTTCCATCTTCACTTCTGATTATACATCAAGCTAGTATTAAAAATGAAGCATTTATTCTTCGGAATGATAGTTGCCATCAAAAGCACTTGAAATGATATGTGGTCTCCACTTAGAAAATGCTCCTTGTTTACTACAAAACTTCTGCTTTATTGAAGCAAAATACTTTGTTTGAATTAAATCTCTTTTATTCATGTATTGAGTAGTTACGGTACCCCTGCTTCAGAGAAAGAACTTGAATAATTGCTCATTGACTTGACTTGTTAAATCTCTGCTTTATGGGTGCAAAATATTATACAGTCCTATGTAGAGTTCATTCATTCATGCATCAAGTATTATCGGACTCTGGCCACTGTGTTAAGAATTTTGAGGCTGTAAAAGCACAAGCAGAAACTCTGGCCTGAAAAGCTGACTGTCTTCAAAAGGGGATTTATTCATTCAACAGATACTCACCATATCACTTTGACACTGAGCATTGTCCTAAGATTTGGGGACACAAATAAATAAAACACAATTTTGTCCTCAAGAGTTATATACACTTTATTCAATATGTAAAGGGCATTTAACAGTCTCCTGTTTTATGCCAACTAATGTGCTATACGTGATTATCCAAAAATAAATAGTCTATACTCATTTCCTTCCCAGAGCTCAAAATAGGAGACAGCCTGTGAANAATCTGGACAGTAGTTAAACTATGGGACACATGAAAAGAATTCAATGGCATGTCAAGTATAGTCACTGGCTTTGAAAATAGAGCACATTCTTTTGCAAACAAAAAAGCCAACAAAAACGTGGGCAATGAGTCTGTGGGTTACTTTATATGCATTTTATTAGAAAATAATGGGAATATGTATGCAAATTAGTAGGAAGATGACTAGACAGGCATGTTGCACCCAACAGCTTGAGGTATAAAAGGCCCTGTGCAGAAGGAGAACTTCACTCACACTTGGGTAACTTGTTCTTCACAATCTACCCAAATCCTTCTCAGCTCCTGCCACCATGACTCGTTACTTCTGTTGTGGAAGCTACTTCCCAGGCTATCCTTGCTATGGAACCAACTTCCATGGCAACTTCAGAGCCACTCCCCTGAACTGTGTTGTACCTCTGGGTTCTCCCCTGAACTATGGCTATGGATGCAATGGCTACAACTCCCTGGGCTTCGGCTTTGGTGGTAGCAACATGTACAACCGGGGCTGTTATGGTGGCAGCTGTTGCAGGCCATGGGGCTCTGGCTCTGGCTTCGGCTACAGCACCTATTGATGAACCAGTGACTCTGGCGACTACAGGACTCCCAATCAATTCTCCATACGCAGAACAACCTGAAGAGCAATGACTGCCTTCCTGCCTCCTGATGTGCTTGGGAGATACATCTATCTTCTGACTGTGGTCTTTGATCACCTGGAACTCAAATGCTGAACTGATACCCATCTAGTCACCCAGGACTCAAATGCTAAACTGATACTCATCTGCAGCCAAAGGAAGCAAGATGTGTTTTTCTGACATACCTGAATTTTAGCAGTGAAGCAAGTAGTTTGCCTCCCAAGGTTGTTCTGCTCATGTATTATTATCTTCTACATCGATGTCAGTGTATTACAAATTGGGAAT